GAAATACGAGAAATAGGTAGAATAATTAGGCCTCCAAAATTTAAGTGCTCTTCACCAAATATTTCTTTTTCAGAGAACTGAAAACAAGGTGGAAGAAGGAGAAGGAACACTTTTCTTGGTCCTAGCTGGCTGGGTTTTAGCTGCAGTTTTGAAAACGGCTACAGCATTACATGATATTGCCACTAAACAAAGGCAATTCGCTTGTGCTGTAGTACTTAGACCCAATTAATCAATTAAAACTTAATTTTATCTTGCACGTGTAAGAGCAAGCAGTTGTTAAATTAACTCATGCTCTCTGCTCTGATTAAATACCTTTTCCCATCAAACTTTTCCCAGACTAAGGTGGTATGTTGGCTCCCAGGTAAATCAAAGTGCCAATATAAGCCACTTTTCCCATAAAAGAAAAATTTTATGTCAAACAAAATGGTTCAGGTCCAAAACTGATGTCAGTTTAAAGGTGGAATGTATTAACATTAGTTTATTTTCTTCTGAGGGTGGGATGATTGTAAAAATGGTTTTGTTTAAAATTATACCAGGAATAATGGCCAAGTTTAAATTTCTGACTGCTAAAGAGATCTAAAAACTATATACAGCCAGAAGGAATTTATTTTCTGAAGCAAAATATCTAGAATTCTGGCAATGCCTGATAACCAACATATAATGAATCACAACTGAGCTGAAACCACTTAATAGGTGTATTTTTCAGCACAAAAGTACTTTCACATTTGATTAGTACTGAAGGTGCATCCATATGGTTCCTATACAGTGTCATGTAGAGATACCAACGTTAAATTTGAAAAAAACAGACATAAATTGTGGGCACATGTGAGTGAACTCTGACTGTGCTTTAGAGGGGAAAAAGAAGGAAGAAAAACCAAAACCCAACCCCAAAGCAACAGCAAAGGAACCGCATGTGACACATGAGCCAGCTGGAAAAGCCCTCTGACTCAGTCCCACAGCCTCCGTATTGGGTTTTTTTCAGCTAAGGGCATCCAGCGCCAGCTCATGTCAGGCAAAAGAATTGTTTTGGTCATGAAATCATTTCCACTGCTTCCTTCTCTAAATCATCGCTGGGTTGGAGCTACTTGGAGCTGAACGGATGTCCGAGGAGCATTTGACTGCGTCTCTTCAGGTGTGTTAGAAATTAGGCTGAAGTAATTTAGCAACTATTTACCTATGCTAATAGATAGTAGCTATGCATATTTAGCAAAAGCAATTTCCTTTGAAGGGAGGTGTGATTAGTATTACATGTCTATAAGATTCATTCTTGTTTTGTAAAATTACTTCCCCCTTTAATTCTGCCACAATCTTATATTTTTCAGGGAAGTGTTATAAAGTTAACAGACTTCTCTCCACTGAAGTACAGCCTTCTTTTCACTTGCTTAAGATTTGTTTTAGATTAAGGCTTCTCTGGCTATCACATGAACAAAATAGCAAAATATCCAGTGGGACTTCATTTGTGTGTGTTTAAACTTGGGTTTTCAAACTGGATATAAAGTCCTAATTATGAGGTTTCATGAAGTGGTTCTCATTTTCAATGTGCTACACAAAGAGAAACTGTTCAGTTTTCAATAGCCCTATGAGGCAGAAAGGTAAGTAAAGTTTCATTGCCTAGATTCTTTTTTTTCATAGGTGGGCCGTGGAGATTCAAACCAGTATTTCCATATACAATTCCCAGTGCCTGGGTGCTTATGCAAAAATGACCTAGTTCTCAGTTGGCAAACTTCTACACTCCTCATATACTCTTTTATGGCATGCAGTTTGCCCTATGAACTCGCTAACTTTCTCATGGCCACATGGTGAATGGGATGAGAGCTGCACCAGGCTGGAAGAGGACTTGGTGCTCTACCTTCTCCCTCAGTGTGTTAGGCCTGCCAACTTCAAGTATTTAGAAGTAAAAAATCATTTTGTCTGAGTTGACAGACTGTGGCCCTAATTGGGCACAGAACTACTTACACGTGTGACTTCATGCATGCGAATAATCTAATTAGCTACAAGGATGCTGTGATTCTGTGATACCGGGCACACGACATGCCCATTTTTTGGCAGTACAAGACATTAGCGAAAGTGAAGGAATTGCTGAATGCAATCCTTACATCCAGTGGGACTTTTGAAATATTAACTCCTTTAAACAATTATTTCTCCATACAGAACAGAAGAAGCAAGTACTTTTAAGTAGTTTTGTGGTTTTTAAGAGCAGATTGTAACGAACTATTTAAAAGTACCCCTTAATTGGCCAGAGGGCACAGAGGTGCCCGTGGGATGGAGGGGCTTGTTCCACGGGCGCTTGCCCTGCGCAAGCAGCTGCACCCGCAGCACCGTAACGTTGTCACCATCAACTTTTCTAAAGCAGCAGAAGCAAAGGTTAATTGCTTGCATTTACCGCACAGTTCAAAGTGACCTCATACAAAAGATTTGGCCTAACAGCTGCTTGAATTTTACAGTCTGAAATTTCATCCCATTTGTTGGAATTACCTTTTAATTAGCCCTTCGGGGGTACAGGTAGTGTTTATTGATTAATCTTTCAGTAGGTGTTTTTTAAATAAGAGATTAATTCTCTATGTTGGGTCGCCCAGTCATGCTCCACCATTCTCCCACCCTCCTTTTGGAGTCTGGGATGGGGACAGCCGCACACAGCCAAAGTGAGGAGAGGAAGAGAGGAGCTCCAAGCTGCTGCCTGCTTAGCTAGCCCTACAACTAGAAGAAGTGTTGCTTCTTTGGCACAAAACACTGAGCCTAAATTACTTTTCCCTGCAGAGAGTCAGGCTTTTTAGCTTTCATGCTATGTTTTTCCTAATATGGCTGTGACTGTGGCTTGGGTTAGCATCACCAAGAGTGGCGTTAACTGCCTGTCCCCACTTCCCATCTCTCTTCTGGGATGAGTAACCAGAAGACTGTAGTACAATGGTTAGTGCCGTCAGCCCCTGAGGATGGTCACAAGAGCTGTAGATGGTTAGATTTGCTAGATTTTGTTACTTCTTATAGTTTTGGCAGTGCCAGCAGAGAAAAAAGCATGAGGTCATGTCATGATGGGTGGGCACTGGAAAAAGAGTCTTTTCGTGAGTGAAATGGATGAATTGGGAAGAGCAAGGAGACCATGGAGGGAGAGGAGATTGGTGGGACAGGGCAGGGGACATGCAGTGGCAGTCTGGGCTGTAACAGCCTGACTGCTGCAAAGGGGAGCAGCACTAGTGAGGGCTGCTGAGGAAGGGGCTCACACAAAAGACACCATCCAATATCACCCTCCCCTGCATATGCAGTTGTTTTGTGCCCAGGTGGGGCTGTAAAGAACTATGAGACAACACAGAATTTGGTTCTGGAGGATCCTCACCCTTCAGTCTGCTCAAACTGTTTTCATTTTTGTTGACCTCCCACACTGGCTTGGGGGAGAATTGTCAGGTATCTAGTCAACCTCTCTGTTTATTCCTCCCCCTGCCCCTCATCACTTTCATTCAACTCCACCAGGTCCACCAGGCTGCATGCTTTGCCTGCGATGAGCTCCCTGCCCTGCCTGGGCTCTGTGGGAAACATGGGGCCTTAAATAATTAGCATGTATCTGTATGGAAAATACATGTCCTTATCCAGCTTTTGAAACAGAGGGCAAAAAAGTGTACGTCAACTACCCCAGCTCCCATAGTAATGTTCAACCAAACACACTATTCTTTCCCCTCTGTCTCCCACCCACGCTTAGTTCAGTATTTTGGAAAAAGGAGGTGACTACAGATGCTGCACTTGATGATGGGCTGGTAGCCAGCTGTTTGAAACAGCTCTTTCATTCAGAGTTAGGTATCTTTGGGTTGCAGTTGTCATCTAGTCAGTAGGCAGATGCTCATTGTTGTACCAGCACTGAAACTCAGATGCAATGCAGGTTTCAACCACAGAAGCCGTATCTAGTAACACTGTTTGTTGGCTTACTGTAGGGAATAAATTTAAAACTATATCTGACCAAACTGCTGGGGAAGCCAAAGCTGTGGTTTTATGTTCTCGTAGAAATATATTAACAGTTTTTGCCCACCAAAAATAGGGCTTTTTCCCTTCCCATCACATGGGAAAGTAATTCAGTTCTGTAACCCACAAAATCTTTATTCACAGATTGATTTTCCACTATTACAACAAGCAAGAGAAAGTTGACTTAACAGGCAACCAGAACTGGCCCATGGTAAGCAGCAGGAGTGCATGGCTGGGAGCGGTGAATGGGGGAGACCAAAACCTTCCTGCAAATACGGCAAGTCAACAGCCCCTTCTTCAACCACTGGGCAACTCTGCCTCTCTATGAGAAATTCCACCTTGAAAGTGTTGAGCAGGACTTTTCTGCTCATTAGCCAATTGATCCTTGTAGTGCCACCCGAAAATAGGTGGTCAGCACAGCTCTCCTGCTGTGGAGATGGGAAATCTGAGCCAGGGTAGTCAAGATATAATTTTTACTTCATGACTGCAATGAGATGACTGAGAATTTCTAGCTCTCTGTCTGCTTTCTGCATACCCTGCCCTAATGTCCACCCCCACTAGCCCAAATCTTCCTAAAGAATAGCTAGTACCTGATTAGTTCTTTTATTTCAAAGAAAAAATCAGCTCCTGTTTGGGGGGAGATTAAGCAAGGAACAACATCACTGATGTTGCAAGATTTGAATACCATTTTTTTTCTCTGAAGAAAAATCATGGAAAGGCTCCTTTTTGGAGTAGTATTTGGCAGGCTGTACGTGGGACATCCCCTGAATTCTGATCCCGGGAAACCACCAAGAGTTAGATAGAAAAGCAGGCCAAGAGCATTTCAGGGATCACACTCAAATCTGTTTACAAGGAAAATGCCTGTTCTCTGTGATTCAGCTCAAATGCTTTCAATGCTGCCTTATCTCTGCTGCACTGACAGGTGCCTCTTCATTTAAAAAAAAAAACAGAAAAAAAACAACATTTTGTACAAGGCAAGCCAGTCAGTATCGTGTAGGAAAGCAAAGCAAGACTGCTCAAGTAACTTCAAGTAACTTAGGCTTTTTTCTTACTTTATACCAAGATGCTGTCTGGTAGGTGACTGAGGAGTCCCGGAGAACTTTACAGGGCAGCAGCACTTCTTCAGCACATCTCACAGCAACGTCTGGGACCACCACAGAAGCCCCGTGGATCAAACACCAAACTGCAAAGCACAGGTACGCATCGCCTTTAAAATAGATTCCCTAGGAATTCCTTCCTGTCTCCCCAAAACGTATCCCCACAAACTAAAAGTGAAAGACCAGAAAGGAAAACGCAAGGCTCCCCACTTACCATTGCACAGGATGATGAGCAGAGCGTAGACTACCCAAGACATGGTTTTTACTGCCTCAAATGACAGAGCAGCAGCAGCAGCAGCAGCGTGCCTCTGTGCAGGACGGACCGTGAGAGCAGAGTGAAACTGCTACTGCTTCTAGAGTGATATTTCTGGAGGCAAACTGGGGAATCCCCAAGCGGCTTATCTTGAAGCTCCCCGTCACAGGGAAAATCCCTACGTGTAGAAGCCAGTGCTCCTCCCATTAAATCTCTTAGGCCACTCCCATTTCTGCAACCCATTGCTCCTCCTTTTTTTTTTTTTCCTTTTCTTGATTTTTTATTCTTTCCCCCCCCCCCGGTGTTGATCTGAACAGAAATAAAGTCGATGGTGGGTCGCTGTGGATAGGTGTAAAGGGCATCAAAAACAGCACGGAAAGAATCTCTCTCTTGAGTGACAAAACAGCAGGGGAAATGGTTTGTCAGCCTCCCAAAATGCCCTCTCAACCTTCTCTCTGCAGCTCTAACAGAGCAGTGCCTGTGCAAGGGTTGGTCGTAGGCAGCAACATTTTTTTAAACCACATTTAAGCGCTCGGGTTGTAACACCACAAGGACACTGTGACTTAAGTCTAAAGGCTAAATAGGAATTTACAGCATGACTGAGCAATACAAACTATATTTCTGTAGCGTTAGGTGTGTAACTCCCCATGTAGGCACTCATGATGTAGAAGCAGCATCTCTTCTTAGTGTATTTTTTCATTTTCAAGGCAGGCAGGGGCAGCTGAAGTGACATTAATTCTACCTAATTATATGCTGGAAAATTTCCTCATGAAAAACATTCAAGGTGGCTCCCAGAAGAGGAATGATTTGGACATCCCCTCTAGATATCTGAAGAAGGTTCTTTCCTTGTAAGAGCTGTTTCCCCCTGGAGAATTTTTGAGGAAGTCTGAGGTTGATCACAGAAGCATTTACAGATCATGAAACTCTGAAAGTTGCTGACATGTTATTTTTGGATAACAGTTCTGGCTGCTGTCTTTAGGCTACTGAGATCATGATGGAGGGAAGCCATTTAGGAGGGGCTTTTTTGAGTTTTGATGAGTGAAGAGTGAGCCTTGAAAACCAGCTTCTTGGAAGCCACGTCAGGCCAGGCATCCTAAAGCCAAATTACCTCTAGAAAGCTTTGTGAGGAGCAGTTTGAGAAGTCCGTAGCATGCAAAAGTCCAACTCAGATGGGTAAACACCGTGGGTGGGTAACAGTTTCGGAAACTCCAGTCCTCTGTGAGGGAAGTCAGAGAGCAATTTCATGGGGGGCCTTGCTGTTGAAATAACCTACTTAATATTTAAAACTTTTTACTCCAGTCTTCATTGACCGGCATAGTAAATATTACATGCTCTGAGCTTTATTTTTCTCCTTGTTTTTTTCCAGTTTCAAGAACATCAATCCATTACTTAGAAGATAGGTACAAGTAAAATGTAAATCCCAGTGGATCTCTTCTAGAGGGAGAGATAATCCTGAACTTTAGCTTCTTTCTCCTATGTGAAATAATAGAGTCCTGGAGAAGGCAGAAGTGAGGGGGGAGCTGTTGCTGCAGGAAATCTTGGAGAGAAGAGGGCTCCAGTTAATATATCTCACATCTGTTCTTCACTAAAACGATGGCTCTCCTGCCCCCATGACTCAATCACACATCAAGCCCACTTCCAAGGAGGGCACTCAGCTTTCACCCAAGTGCCTCTTTCTGTGAGTCCTGCAAAGCTACATATTTATCCGTCATAAGCCAATCCAGAGGCTAAAACCTTTTCTACTCCCTTTTCATTGTGGGGAAACCTCTAGTGAGCAAACCACAGTAAGCTGCTGCCCCTGCTGTGGGTCAGCCCACAGCAATCTTTCCCAAAACAGCCCGACCAGATGTAGTCTGGATGCCTAAGGCTGAGGTCACAAGTTTGCCCGCACAGAAGTGCACTGAAAGTAAGCCTAAAGGGTCAGGCTTCAGTTTGATCTGGGAAATGTACACGCCACACACGCTTGCCAAGGTCACGTTAAACAACATTCTTCCTCTGTTAGTTAAAATATAGGAGTTAAGACTCTTAAAAACACACGGGTTTTCCCTCTGGGACAGGCATAGCTTCAAGCAAAACAGCCCTTTTCCTCCAGAAGTATTTGCAAGCTCAGCTGCTGTTCCTCAGCATGGTATGTGAAGCAGGAGAGCAAGATATGAAGAACAAAAACTGAAACTCCCTTTGCTGGGTGAGGAGAAATCACTTGGTTTCTAAACTTTCCCTGGTTGGGATTTTTTTCTTTAGGGAAACTTTGAACAGGGCTGTACTTTCCGTCCTAACTTTTAATAAACTTAATATAGTTTCAAAGAGCAAGTCTATTATCTCCAGAGCCCTGGAAGCTTCTGTGAGTTTCACTCCAGCCCTGAGCAGTGGAAGCAATGGGAGCTCAGCGGGACAGGTTCGGGTGTGGGAGTGAGGAGGCAGTGATTGCCTGTCAGCTTTCTCCATGAGAAACAGACCCACATCTTTGCAGTGCCCTCAGGAACTGCAGGAACTACACAGTTATGTGAGCAAGTGGAAGTTTATCATTAAATGCATTGTTCCCTAGACCTAATGAGACTTGCTTTCCTGCAGGTGTGTCCTGTTGCCTCTTCCTCGCCTTCCTTCACCTGGACCACTCACTGCACCAACCATAAGCCCTCGGCCTCACTGATCAAGAAGCACCATCTGCTCTGGTGGGTCCAGAGCTGCACATGTGATGACTGACATTAGCAAGCAGTGTGTAAAATGGCTGCATTCTGCCTACCTTTCCCTTAGCAGGGGCACTCATTTGGATCTCCTTCTTTGACCCAGCTGCTGATTTTCATGAATTTCATAGGCACTTAATTCTCTTTGAGCACCAATCCTTCTGTCAATTTGATAGAAAGCAGGTTCAGAACATACTGGCTGATAGACAGCCAGATGGCACGATCACAGAAATTTCATTCTCTGTGGGAAATGAGGCTAGAAGCACAAGGATGTGGGATGGATTCATGGGATAAGGTTAAAAAGTCAGGACTGTATATTTTTTCAGTGTTGATAGAGCCTTGAGAATGCTGTTCATAGAATCATATCCTTTTTCCATGAACCAGGTAGGTACTGGTTCCCTCAGATACTTGGGCAGTGGGGTTTTCTTATTTTTTATTCCAGTGTGTGGCTGCAAAAGGTATGTAAGATTCCTTCTTGTTTCATGTATTTGCCTCTGAGTGCCAGCATTCAACAGGAAGCACAGTCTCGTAAAAAAAGACTTTAGGTCTCTACAAGGAGTACAGTGCTCTCCACAATGAAGAATCAAAGGTTAAGACAAAGATGTCAAAACAGTATTTAGCATTTCTGGCAAGGCACAGATTTTTCTGTATTGGGATATGATTACCAAATATCCACTGTTCCACTGCATTTAGGTTCTTGCTTAGAATAAGGTCCATCCATGTGCCTCATGTCCATTGTGAAAACGCTGGCAAAGGGGAGCTCTTTATTTATTTTTACTATTATTAATCTCCCATATAGCAATAAAAACTGTGTGCTTCGGTTCAACTGAGAAAGCCAGGAAGCCTTTTGTTTTATGTTTTAATAGACAACCATTTTTTAAATAATATACTCTGTGATATGGCACTGTCAGCTGAAGGAACCGTGACAGAAGAATCCACAGCCACAAATGCAGAGTAGTCAAGTATTCTGAGGGGCCCAGCAGAGCTGCAGTCACAGCGTTTACCTTCCTGTCATGCCAGAATCTTGACGCTCACCACACCAACAATTAAAAGCAACTGAGAGTTTCCAGATTGCAGCTAATGAGAGGGACGTAGATTACTCATAAACTGGAGTTAGGAAAGTTTAAGGCCAAAGTTCTTTTCTCTGCCCCTTCATGGCAGATGTTGGGTCAGGGTCTGCCTTTGCTGTTTAAACAGTGGCAATCGAGCAATACTGAGAAAACAAAACACTGGGACTGTGACCTGCTGGGCGGCACAGCTTTGTGCTACAGCTCAATAAATAACACCCAATAAATTATACATAAACAACCACTCCTCTGAAACACCTGGACTTCAGAACGAGCTGTTTGAGATGTGCCAGCCCTGTTTATCAAAGTAGTGATTAAGCACACTCATGTAGAAATTGAAATGTGACCCAAAATATAGACCCAAAATGGAGGTATCCAAAATCAGAAGCCTCTTTAGAAACTGTTAGCCTGGGAGTTTAGGAATTGCCTTTAAGCAAATAGGAGCAAGAACATATTCCATGTCTATACATGCAACTGTAAGAGCTGGAATAAGGATGTACTGAAGCTCCATCTAAGCCCAGCATCTTGTCTCCAACAGCAGGCAGTGAGCTATTGGATAGCCAAGCAGGCCAAGGCGCTGCGTTCAAACTGCAGAGTATGCTGGAGGTGCACATTGAAATCTAATTTTTAACAGGTCCCTGGTTCCTCTTTTATCATCAGCGTGCTAGATGGTGTTGGTGTCACCAGGACTAGGGACATCTTGGACCCCGGTTTGCAGATTTCAGTGGACTCTCCATTGCTCACCCTCCATGTGGGGTTATCCATGCTGCCTTCTCCAGAAGGTAAGGAACAGATTATTGCCTGCTGTCTCTACTGAATTCTGCAGTAGTAGTCCCCACGTAGTCCAAGCCTTGCAGAGCTCCTTCTTGGACCTCGCATCTCCTTACACTGTTTTAATACAGATCTAACGTTCAGCTGGTCTGCCCTCAGATCATGTTGTGGAAATACTTACTCCTCCTGGTGTTCCTCTCACTTTTCTCTTGCCTGTACATCCTCCCAAGACACGCATGCTATGGGACTTCTTATACTGCAAGAGAATGAAGGATCCCAGTTGGGTACCTTGTACTGCTAGCTGATCCCACGGCCCACCAGGAATGTAAGCCAAGAAATCCTCCTGGGAGCAGCCTGTGCTAACAGCAGGTCTCAGAAGGTGCCCTGACTGTTGTGCAGCATTTGGGGACCCAACCATGCACGCTGTGCCAGGCTGCAGCCCCTCTCCTGGTGCCTCCAAAACCTCTTGTTTTGGGGTGGTTTTTTTATATACCTTCCCC